TGTTTCCTTCACAGATGCTGCCAGACCTGCTGAGCTTCTCCAGCAACTTTGTTTTTGTTCCGGAAGGTATAGGTCCATTCCACATAATCTTTCCTCATTGGTCCCTGGGATGAAGGAGTTGGCTTATCTGGTAATCCTGTGCTGGCCTGCATCTCATGCAAGTATATCCTTTATTTAAATATAGAGACAGCAACCTCACACAGATATTCTGGCATGTTTGCCTGATTTTGACTGATCCTTTTAAAAATCTGGTTACCTCTCTGTTATCACCTTGATGGCAAGCATATCCTTCCCCAGGTATAGCAACAGATGCAGAATGCTCCAGGTGTGGTCTCACAAAAGCTCTGCACATTGCAACTAGACTTCTTACTCCTGTACTCAAACCTCAACTTTCCCAAAAGAAAAATTAATTCACTCTTGCAATAAAGGCCAACATAATTTGCGCTTCCTAATCAATTGAAAACAAGCTACAACATATTGGGGAGATTTAAAGGAAAGGTCTGAACCACTAAGTTTCCACAGCTTAAACTGTCATTACCTTAGGGGGAAAAAAAGCACGACAGAACTCTCTCCACTGGCTCTACAAGTTCTACCAGTTTTGAGGAGCTGGAAGAAGAAATCCCTCCTTTGTTCCTCCCACACTGTCGTGCACAGTTCCCAATTCTGTTAGATTCATAATCAAACACATGCTGAGGTTTCTGGCGCAGGGACAAGCCTTCCATCTGCAATTGCTATACTCAGCACTCAAGAACATTAGCTCTCATTTTCCACATGCCGTTGATCAATCAGCAAAGTGCTTGCTGCCACGTCGATCAGCCCTCCCCCACAACTGCCACCACCCTCCTCCCCAAAACCCCGCAGAGCTCCTCTTGGTGAAAGACCAAGTCGTTTACTTGAGCACCAATGCAGAAATTGCAACATTTGCTTCATGGAACTTTCTCCCTCGGTGACGTATTTCCCCATTCCCGACCAATTCTCAAACAAGCATTCATTAGAACAGAACTAATCAAAACAATTCTGAAGGGGGCAGTTTGAAGCTGCCTATAAGATCATGGATTAAAACAATTCAAATTCATTCTACACAGAGCCCACATTCCCTGAAGAATTTTGCTGTGTGCAGCCAGTTCTTTTCCTAATAACCAGTACCTTTAAAAATAGAAGATGGTGGCATGCTCAGCAGGTCAGGGAGCATCAGAACTGATGAACGGTTATCATTGACATGAAATGTTAACTCCTTCTCCACATCCACTGCCTGACCTGAAAATCTCACTCAACTCAACAAGTTCGGCAGCAATAGGTTTAATGTCTCACATCAATGACGACCCTACATTAGATCTGAAGCTTCCGGAACTACTACATGGATCACTTTCAATTCCAATTTCCTGCAGTTGTAGCCTTAAATGGCTTTCAATATTCACAGTGGGCACAATGTTTGCATAATGCAGCATAAATACGCACACACGCAGATCAACAGGGCCACTGTACAAGACCCTCACTGCTGGCAAAGACACACCTCACAATGGTTTGAACCAAATATGAAATCCAATCTGAAAATTAGAAGTCCAGTGTCTAATGCACAGCACCACACAGTCCCAAAACTTTACTTATTCATAACCATAAAAAATAGACAGACAAGATGTATTTTACAGGCTAAAAAACACAAAGTTACAAGGCATGAGACTCAAAAAGAAAATAAAACAGAGAAAACAAGGAGGTACATACTCACTGTACACAAGTTGGAGCTTGCTCCAAAGCAGCAAGACATCAAAAGATTAGAGAAATATAACAAATCTCAGTAGGGAAATGCAAGGAGATTCAATGTAATCTGGTAATTCAGTCCCTAAAATATTCTTTATTTATGTAAAAGTCTAACCTGCGCAGTGCTGCTATTATTTTCTAGCAAGTTGACTTTTTTTGCTTCAATAACACAGCAGATAATGGTAAATTAAGACGTCACATTAATATGATTGGGTCTGTGCTATGAACTGAATCAATACGGTGCATAATTGCTTTTAAAATTACCTGGTCATTCATCTTATTGTTCAATGTGTGGTGCTGGTCATATAGAAAGGCTACTGCATTTAGCTGCACAATAAGAGTAACTCACTGTGTAAAGGGCACTAACAAACAGGTGGTGAGGCAATTATCAATTTTAATCAGCGAAGACTACTGGCCAGGAAGACAAGTATGCCCTTTGACATTAGCTGAAGACTAACCCCAATCTTTCCTAACAAGAGTGAAATATCCTGGGAAATGTGACACCCAGATTCATGCACAAAGAGCAGCTATCTGGACAAGGCCGATATTGAAAAGAAATGGTATTTTTCCTTTAATAGCACTCTTCACAATCTCATTACTTCTCAAAGTGCTTTACAATCAATAAAGTGATCTTGGATGTGTAGTCATTGTTGGCATGCAGGAAACATACATAACAAGATCCCATAAAAGCAATAAGGCAACGAATAGATAAACACATTTCCAGGTATTGAAAGGCACTATATAGAATCAAAGAATCTGTACAGTGTGAAAGAAGGCCATCGGCCCATCGAGTCCACACCTACCCTCCAAAGAGCACCCCACCCAGACCCACTCCCCAACCCTATCCCTGTATTCCCCATGGCCAATCCACCTAGGTAGTGTCCAATCCCTGAAAAATACAGTGCGAATTTAGCATGGCCAATCTATCTAACCTGCACATCTTTGGACTGAGGGGGAAAACTGGAGCACTTGGAGGAAACCAGAGGAAACCCAGGCAGATGCAGGGAGAACATACAAACTCCACAGAGTCGCCTAAGGGTGGAATTGAATCTGAGTCCCTAGTGCTCTGAGGCAGCAGTGATAACCACCAAGCCAGTGCGCCGCCCTAATAAAAAATAAAATATCAGGAATTGAATTTGGAATTATCCGGTCTCCAAGGCATATTGCCATATCCCATTGTGTAGCACTGTACAGAAGGTCGTCATTCAGCTCATCATGCTTGTACTTACTGAAACACAGTCTCCCTCTGGAAGAGAATGGGATGGGATAAAAAGACGTGATAAAGATAATATTAATCTCAGCACCTGATACGAATTGCTTGCACCCTGATGTTGCTAGCAGTTAGAATCAAGTGTCAGATTTACAAAGCTCACAGTGAAGTTATTCTGATTTAGGCTATAAAGCTACATTTTAAAAGAAAACATTGTTGGGAAGCAGCATAACTGACAAGATCAACATTTATTGTCCGTTCATAGTTACTGAAGTGATAGTTGGCTACCTTCTTGAGCCACTGTAGTCAAAAATGGTACCTACACAGAACACACAGCACAAAAACAGGTTTCTCATCCCAACTAGTCCATGCTCCACTGTAGGATCTTTCCTTATTTAAATCTACCACCACAAACCTCTATTCCCTTGTCCTCATTGGTTGCATTTCAGGGGAGGCTAGACAAACCTTTCTATTCAATTTAAACACTCCATGTGGTAGTGGGTCACACATTCCAATCACTCTTTAGGTAGACAGCTTCTTCTGAATTCCCTGTTGGATTTCTTTGTGAGTACCTTAAATTGATGGCCTTTAGTTATGTTCTTCCCCCGAGAAGGAAACATTCTCTCCACATCCACTCAATCAAAATCTATTACTTTATAGGTGCCCTCAGTTTTCAACAGAAGAGTCATTCATCAAAGCATCCCAACAGTGACTATCAGCAAACCAGGTCATCTATGCAGCACACCAAAACCAAGCCTAAACGTGTCCTCATGTGCACTTTGCAATAAAAAAGTGTGTCATCACTGGATAGCAATCAATAATATCTCCAGGTGAGTTTCCAATACTGTCAAGACAACATTGTCATTACCATTACCATTAGTCCAAATGGGATTAACTAACTCACATTTAAATGCAGTTCAGTACGAAGCACTCTCATTTCTCCGTCAGCAGGTGGTGTGTTCAAGCCCACTCCAGAAACTGAGCACTAAATGGGAAAACCCTGCAATTCAGTGGTGATATATTTGGGATGATATCCTAAACTAAGGCTCCAACAGCTATCTAAAGTTTATGCAAAAAATCCCACACTACTATTGCAAAGATCAACAGAAGAATTTTTCCCCCAGTGCTCTGCCCTATATTTACACCTCAGTCAACATTACTAAGGAACAGATCTCTTGGTCATTATTACATTGCCTTTCAAGGAAGTTTATCGTGTGTAAATTGGATGGCACCTTTGTAACACTACAATAATTAACAGATTTGAAAAAGTGTATTCTCAATAGCTGTATAGAACTTTGGAGGTATCCAGACATTGTGAAAGGCAGAATTTAAATGCAAGTGTTTAACAAAAAGAACAGGAGTTAAATCTAGGATCATTCAGCCTCTAAAGTTTATTACGTTATATGATACTGAAGGATGCCAAGCAGTCCATTGTACCTATGCCTATTGTCTCCAGAGTCTTCCCTACTCCTTTTCCCAGGCCCTGAAAATATACCTTTTAAATCCAACTCCTTTTTGAAATTTATTATTTAATCTGTTTCCACCGCCCTCCTGGGCAGTACTTTCTAGATCACAGCAACCTGCTGCATCACAAAAGAATTCTCACATTCCCCCTAAAATTGTTAAATCTGTATCATTTAGTTATCAACCTGCCTACCAGAGAAAACAATTTCTCCAAAGAACTCAACTAATGCCATCAATTTGAATATTGCACTTATTTTGTTAACCCCTTAATGTTCTTTGCTCTAAAGGGAAGTTATCAAACCTTTATCCAATAAGAAAATAGAGAATTAGTAATAGGAGCAAGCACTCTGGAAAGCTGCAGTATCAGGAGTCACATTTGGAGAGAACGCCATTCAGCCCCTTGAGCCTCTCCTGTTATTCACTGAGATCATTGCTCCTCTGACTCTCAGTCAGAAGTCACATGACACCATGTTATAGTCCAACAGGTTTATTTGGAATCACAAGCTCTTGGAGCGGTGCTTAAAGACTTCACCTGGCAAAATGCAGCGCTCTGAAACCTTGTGATTTCAAATAAACCTGGACTATAACCTGGTGTCACGCGACTTCTGCATTTGCCCATCCAGATCCAACACTGGCACCTCCACATCATGGCTGCCTCTCTCACAATATGAAATAAAATTCTTACCATCGACTGCATTGGAAGATTGTGTTTTCACCCCAGCTGTCGGACATGATGGATATGGGTAGGTAGAAGCATTAACACCCATTTTCTTTGTACACACATGGCAAGAATCTCGTAAGACAGTCTTCTTCCACTCGGCAAGCAACTTCACCTGTCTACTGACAGAGGACCATTACACCTCATGAAACAGAATTCCTGAGGGGAAAGATTTAAAAGAAAGATCAGCAATTTCCTCCACATCTACAATGGTCACACTTCACTCTTATGAACTGCTTGAAGTAAATATGAGGCCTATAGTGCAAATACCAGTAGTTCATCAAATGGGGGTTCCTTTTTACAAAGTGGAAATAATGTTATATCTAATATAAAGTTAAAATCTGTAATACATATTCAACACCAATAAATTTAGAAAAAAGTCATTTCTCATGTGATATCGTGGGATCCCTGCATAAATTGGTTCCCAGAATTGACAAGCGCAGATGTACGCTGGTCCTGTAATGATCCCTGGTTAGACCACACTTACAATACTGTACGCAGTTCTGGTCATATTATAAGAAGGACAAGAGGTTTTTCTCCCTGGAGCGTCAGAGGCCAAAGGGTGACCTTATAGAGGTTTCTAAAATAATGAAGAGCACGGATTGGGTAAATAACCATGGTCTTTTTCCTTGGGGGGGGGGGGAAGGAGGAATCCCAAACAAAAGGGCGCACGTTTAAGAGGAAAAACTTTAAAAGGACCCGAGGTGTAACTTTACCATGCAGAAGATGGCGTGTGAATGCAATGAGCTTCCAGAGGAAGTGGTGGAGGCTGGTACAGTTACAACATTTAAAAGGCATCTGGATGGGTATACGGATAGAAAGGGTTTAGAGGGATACATGCCAAATGCTTTTGGGCAATTGGGACGAGATCTGATTGGGGTCTCTGGATGGCACGTCTGAGTTGGACCAATGGGTCTGTTTTCATACTGTATGACAATGACACTGGAAAAGGTGCAGAGAAGATTTACACAAGTGACACCAGAAATGCGTGGGTACGGATATCAGCAAAGGATTGACGGCGTGGGTCTCTTATTTTTACTTCAAAACGTAACGTTTAACCCTGAGGTCTTCAAAATTCTAAAAAGTTTTGATAAAAAGTGAGGAAGCGTCATCAAGAAATCCAATAGAGAAGTCAGAAGAAAATTCCTTTACATAGAGCAGCGAGAATGTGAAACCTGCAACCACAGGGAGTTTTTGAAGTAAATAGCATAGATACATTTAAGAGGAAACAATAAGGTTAAATGAGCCGATTTAGATGTAGAATGATTGAGAAAGTGAGAGTGGAGCAGAAACACTGGCATGACTGGTTGGGCCGAATAGTCTGTTCATGGGCTGTCTATCCTAAGAGATAGATATCAATCTAACAAGTGAAGGTATTTTAAAATCAGCCAGTTCACAGGGTGCAATGTACATACCACTGCGCTGAATTTGTAAGAGAAACCGTACAAGGGAAATTGGTTTCTTTTCGCTTTTGCAATCCACGCATCCTATTTCAAAATTTTCTTTGCCATATGTAACAACTCACTTTATTACCCTTGTAACTTGGCAATTTAAAATTAAAACATAACGGAGTTGCATTTTACTTCAGTTCAATTACATGGGTAGACTGGAGAAGTTAGGACCCTTTTCCTTAGAGAAATTATGGCTGAGATTTGGAAAAAGGTATTCAAAATCATGAGGTGTCTGGATAGAGCAGACAAGGAGAAATTGTTCCCACTGACACAAGGGTCAACAGCAGGATTTAAGTAAATGGCAAAAGAAGCAATGGAGACACAAGGGAAATCCTTTTCTCACTGCAAATTGGTAATTTATGAAACGTGTTGCTCAAGTGTGAAGGTAGATTCAATCAAGGCATGCTGGAGGATATTGGATTGTTATTTGAAAAGAACTTAAATGTTGGGATACATAGAGAAGGTGGTGGTGGGAACAGCACTAGATGCATTATTCATTAGGAAAATCAGGCACAGATATGACTGTCCAGATGACCAGCTTCACGGTATAACTATTCTGGCTAGTAGTTATATATTCTCCCTGACAAACAGAAACCAAACCATTACAAAGTAAATACCCTAACTTTTCAAAGGGGAAGTGGTGATGGGAGGCGAGACAGCCCATGAACAGACCATTCGGCCCAACCAGTCATGCCAGTGTCTCTGCTCCACTCGCACTCTCTCAATCATTCAACTGCCTCTCAACACAGAAAGCAAATCACTGTTAGTGGGGTCCAGAATATGATCCACTCTTGGAACATTTGACAATCAAATGATTACAGGCCGCACAAAACTCTCCCTGGTTTCCTCCCATCCTCACTGAAACTATATGACAATTTGAAGTTTTGGAGCCAGCCAGCCATTCAAAAGTGCAGACTAGACCTCAAAGATGACCCACAACAGTACAGCTAAGCGCACTATTCAATGAAAACAATGTGGAAGATATAATTAACATGTTTCTGCCCTCATCCTATTCACGTTTTCCAATCAAGCTTCACTGAAAGGTGATCAGAAGCTCTGGGAGTGGCTTTCTTCTCCCGCTTTCCGAGGAGATGATGACCCAATGGTATTATCTCTGGGCTGTTAATCCAGATTCCCAGGGAATGTTCTGGGGACCCAGGCTCGAATCCGGTCACAGCAGATGGTGGAATTTGAATTCAATAAAAATCTGAAATTAATAGTCTAACAATGACCATGAAACCATTGCTGATTGTCAAGAAAAACCTGTCTGGTTCACGAATGTCTTTTAGGGAAGCAAACTGCCATCCTTACCTGGTCTGACCTACATGTGACTCCAGACCCACAGTAATGTGGTTGACACTTAATTGCCTTCTGGACAATAAAAGCTAGCCAAGCCAGTGATGCCCAAATCCCATGAATGAATAAATAAAAACGAAATTGAGATCAATTAGCAAATCATAGGTTAGCTTGTAATACAAGTTTACGCTGGTCGAAGCTCAGTACCCAAGCAAATAGCGCTTGTACCACTAAACCATTAACCTCTAATATTTCGAGCAAAAACAAAAAAGTGTCTGCATCCTGTCAAATCTGTACTCCCAATAAAGGAATGGTTTCACCCATCGCTACAGCTGAGAAGCTGTATGAGGTATATTAATCACAGAAAATTTCAAGATTAAATAGCACCTCTCCAACGTCAGTATTACAAAAGAGGGTCAGAAACTCGAAACACAACAATATTGAATCATCCTTTTGATCTGGGCTTTATTTTGAACACGCAAGTGTCTGTTTTAACATCTAGCTTGGCCTTATGCCATACAAGGTTACACTACATAATCAGCGTACAATGAAAATGCAGTACTCCACTTGCTTGTTCCAAATTAATTACTACAAGACAAAAAGCTCTCTGTAAATGTAAAATCTGTTAGAAAAAGCTTACATGGAACACATGTTGTCCTCATTTTCTACTAGTAATTCTCCACTGTCCATTAGAATTTGCTAGGTCAACTGTCACGATGTAGCTGCAGGCTCTGGCCTCTAAGTGACTCTACAGGTAAATATCTAGTCTCTTGACCCTGTTCCATTGCCACCTTGCACATTTTCTATATAACAGAAATGCAAACAAACATTTCATCAACAACTTACAACAGACACTGCTATGGGAAATTTATAACCAAGAATCATTTCAGCACATAATATGACCTTCTGGTCCATCAAATCCACGTCAGCTCACTCAACCGTCAATCCCATTCCTGTGCTTTACCAGCAGGTATGACATACAGCCTACACTGGAATAAGAAGAGTGGTGTAAATCCTAGGTACCAGTTCAAAGTGCCCAGTATCTCAAGTCAAACAATGTCAACATAATTCAACACTATACAATTTCAATAAAGGCAAACTAACTGCACATGAACTATTTGTAGCACCTCCACTCAAAACAAAAACCACCTAGAACTCTAATTTCCTCAAAACTAGAGCTCATGACTTAAGAGGGTATCGAGCTGCATGCAAGAGGTGCAATTTAAAGGTCTTCTACTTGCAGAGGACTAGAGGTGAATTAACAGCATCTAGTTACCTTAAAACTTTTTATTAACTACAACATGCACTGGGAGAGGAGCAAATGAAAGCACATCAGTGATAGCACTACCCAATAATAAATCACTTCACACACGAACATTACGCTGGCACATAGCCTGTCTGCTGTCATTGCTAGCAATGAAATATAATCCAAAATTGAAAAAAGCCATAAGCCCATATTCAACTATATACAGAAACCATCATATTAGGTGCACACCCCTATTTAGAAAAAAGTGAACACAAAACAAAAGCATGCTCAAGTCAATTAGTTGAGCATTATTTGATGTTCTCAGATGGCTGCACAGAATGTTCCCACTTTCAGTGGCATTCAAATCCTCACCTTCACTTCACCCCAGCTTCTGGCAATGCAGAATGAACTTTCTGACGTGACTGATTTTGGGAAGGATAAAATTCATCATTAATTGTGAGAGACAGCTCAGTGACTACACCAACTTGTGAATCACAGGACCAACAACCTTTCAACGAAAGCATCATTCCAGCCTGACAAAGATTTTAATCTGCGCAGCTGACAAATATTTACGGCAACAGCGCACATAATTTAGAAACAGATAGTAGGGCACATTACCAAAAAGCACAAGGCTCTACAGCAAGTAATAGGAAACAATTTAATTTCAGAGCATTCAATAAATTCAGCCTGCCTGTTTTATGATGTCATCTGTTTTGCAATATCATCTGAAACCCTTTGATTAAACTGCTGTTGCAGCACTGACTACTGACCATCCATAATGCTGTAGGGAAGGGGAGGGGGTCAGCAGTCTAGACAGTCTGGCTCAGTCATTGATCTTTCTGACATTCTGACTCCAAACCTGCAATCATGAAATTTTTACTTAAATAAGAACCAGGAAGTTAAGGGTTGTAGTTTGTTTCCAGTACAAAACACACACCATCATTAAAGTCTGTCATGCAAAGAAGCCTCTGTGTCTGATACTGGTGACGATTCAAGCAGCGCCACTGTGGCCACAGTAGAAGGTTGTAGGTTCAAGTTCCACTCTGGTGACGCAAACATAAAATTCACTGAGCGAGTACTGTACTGAAAATGTCATATTTCAGGAACAACGTTAAACCAAAACCCTGTCTGCCCTCAAAGCAGGCATATAAGATCCAATGGCGTTA